CACTCAGGTGTCAATTCTAGCCTCTGCCCACCCACTGCCTTTGTCTGAGGGGGATTCCACCCTGAGGGCTGGTACTTTACTTAGGAAAGTTCTCAGCGTTTTGCCTGTGGCTGTCCGAAACCTCTGTTTGCCCAGAGAGATGGAGCTGGAATGGCGTCAGTTTGCAGCTCAGGATGCCACTGTTGCTGTATTGGCATCCCCTGAGCCGACCTTCCTCTCCGCACACCTGCACCATAGTCAGCACAGAACAGCACCAGCCCTTTCCCCCTCCACTTCTCTCAAGGAGATGCCCAAGAATCTGGATTTCATAGGTAACAAACTTCCAGACCTTGGAGTGACTGGGTGGAGACTCCTCAGAATTCAGTGTTGCAGGTGGGGAATATATACAGTTTTATACAGTTTTACAGTTTTATGCCTGGCAGGAGGGTGCCATGGCATGCCAGTGGGGGTAGGAGGTCCAGTTTTTAGGGGGTCTCTCCCGTGGGATAGAGTGGGAGGAAGTTTCAACTCTGCTCGCTTGTTTGCATGGAGTAAACTGCAAGCCCTTGTTGTGGGGAGGGGACTCCCGTCTGCTTGGTGGTGGATTTTGTACCCTTTGGTTGTATTTTTGAGGTCACAGCTCGCCTCAGGAAAGCTGAAGTGCACTCTTCAATCTTCTCTCTTGGCTCTGCTCCAAACCATCAGCTAACTTGCTAAACTTCTGTCCTTTAAGCCTCCTTCTGGACGGGAGCTTCAGTAAAAAGCTGGCTGTAGTCTGCCATCTTGGCTCCACCCCCCCACCCTCCCTCAGAAGCATGTTTTTAAATTTCCATGTGTTTGTATGGTTTCTGAAGTTCCTCTTGATATTACTTTCTAGCATTATTCTACTATGGTCTGAGAAGATACTTGATATGATTTTAATTTTTAAAATATTTATTAAGATTTGTTTTGTGGCCTAACATATGGTGTATCTTGGAGAATGTTATATGTGTGGAACTAAAGGATGTATATTCTGTAGTCATTTGATAGAATGTTCTTTAAATGTCTATTAAGTCCTCTTGGTTGAAAGTCCAATTTAACTCCAATGTGTTTTTGTTGATTTTCTCTCTTGATCACCTGTCCAGTGTTGTGATAGGGTGTTCAAGTCCCTCACTATTAATGTGTTATTATCTATTTCTTTATTTAGGTCTCCTATTTGTTTTATGAATCTGAGTGCTTTTATGTTGGGTGCATAAATGAAGTATATTTAGGATCATTATATCCTCTCCCTGCATTGGTCCCTTTTTTACTATATAATAGCTTTCTTTTTCTTTTTTTCACTGTTTTTGTTTTAAGAACTGTTTCATCTGATATAAGTATAGCCATTGCTGCTCACTTCTGGTTTCTATTTGTGTGCAGTATGTTTTTCCACCCCTTTACTTTCAGTCTATATGTGTCTTTATGAATGAAGTGAGTTTCTTCTAAGTAGCATATGGTTAGATCATGTTTTTTTATTCATTCTGGTAATCTATATTTTTTAAGAGGAGCATTTAATCCATTTATATTCTAGATTAATATTGATAAGTGAGGCTTTGTTCTTGTTGTATTAGTTGATTTTATAATTATTTTATGATTTCTTTTTTTTCTTTTTTTTTTTTTT